GCAATAGATCTAATAAGCGTAGACGCTTTAAGGTATTTGTTTAACAGACGGTGGGTGCTTCAAAGTGTACTCTACATTTAATAGACCACTGTATGATAAACACTTAGTAATGTTTACGTTTGAAGCCCAGCTAGAATCGATACCTGTGAATAAGCACCAACGATTAGTTTTTAGGTGTGATTATAATCATTCATCACTTTGTTACCACGGATGAACGCGAGTGTGCAGAAGTTGCCTATGTTCGAAAGTTTTAAACCAGTATAAAATATTTTAAAGCAATCCGAGATACAATCATTATCATCGTAATTACAATGATCGTATCTCGGTAGAGTAGTTCCCCAGTACTTGTATTTCTTTTAAAACGTTCTTTTCTTTTAGTTCTGTATGACTACTAGGTTAATTTAGAAGCTTTTTGTTCAGCTTTATACAATAGCATCTAAAAGACCAAAAGTATTGAAAGGAAAACATCCATTGTATTCTCGCAACATCAATCTATTCGTATGTTCAATCAAACACACAGGATGGGTGAATGGATCATGGAACAAGTGGCTCAACGAACTTAAATATAGATAAATAAATGTTTATAGATAACTTAGTTTACCAAATCTTAATAAATTACTCAGTATATATTTAGGTTCGGTTAAAGTAAAAGTTATCTACTTTAACAACTGTTTATACTGCAAACATTTTGGATGAAAACATTTTAAAATCATTTTAAGTTCAGAACAATATACCGAAAACTTAATACTGTTATTTTCCTTTGAAATAAGTCTAAAACCTTTTTATTGCGTAACAAATGTCTATAAAATTAATACTACTAAATATTTTTTTCATCATCAACATCAACATCGTCAAATCGGCCCGTAAAAGTCCCCAATAAAGGAATTGGGGCTCCTCCCAGTAACGTTATTAAAAGATTTGCCTTAAGTGTCAGGCTTCAGTCGGAATGATGTTCACAGCATCCAGACACCTCGCACTTTCGACGCTGCTAGCCGTCGCTGGTCTATATGTTTCATATTCTGGTGTATACGACATGATAAGAATTATCTTTCTTGCTTTTCCCATGGCCACGTCATGCGACACATGATGAAATCTTTAAACTCTCAGGCCAGTTCGTTTAAAGGATTCTTCTAACTAAAATAATATACGTAGGTCTTAAATACATACCCCAACCCATATCGTGCCGTGGGTGTCGTAAGGGGCGACAGGGAACAAGACAGGAGAGCAGCACCTTTTACTTATGGTTTGAGCATAACTCTGATGATTAACGGTTTTGACAATTTGAGATCGATTATTAAGATACGATATGAAAATTTTGTATGCTTTGCTAGTGGTTACAATCTGTGAGAGTTAATTTAACAGGGGTAAAAAATATAACTTTAAATATGTATAAATAGATAAATCTACTTTAGGCAAGGTAACGGTCTAATTTATTAATGTCAATTATTATTTTCTTAAAATTGTTATTGTTAATATAATACTACTTACTTTATTACAAAAGACTACAATGGAGTGTACTATTTAATCCCCTGCACTCGGCTAAAAGCACAATAAGCTCCGATTTAATCCGTTAGGTCGAAACGCAATTATATAAATTTAATCCTGTCTGTCTCAATTATATACACTTTTTATAGAATAAAAGTGGTAAAAAGGGCACACAGTCCACCTAATGGTAAGTAGATGCTGTTTCCATAGACATCTACATTTATCCTTGATTAAAGCTCAAAATGCGGATGGGTTATCACCCCTGAGAACTAAGATAGAATGCCTCGTTTCCAGTTAAAAGAGTCTCCGGTTCTATACGCTCACCATACGAAACACAGCAGCATTAAGCTGCAATCTTACGTTAGTATTATGTGGGAGCATGGTTAGGATATTATATAATGTAGCTGCAGTATGGCTCTACAACGTTAAAATATAAACTTTTCTAAAGAGAAGACAAACAACTAATAAAAAAAGAAACTAATATAGAAAATACATTACAGTAATATATATATATATATATATATATATATATATATATATATATATATATATATATTAAAGGTTTTTTTAAAGTTCATCCCTTTGTTAAATAAATACAAACGTTTGCGCTAGTCAATTCTAAACGATACAACAAAAAAGAATGTATTTTTCCTTAACTTTATATATATATTGTTGTTCCTTCATTTAATAATCCCTCACATAATAAGTTAAATATTTCATCGTACCTTGTTATCTTTCTGCCAGGAGCAGATACCTCTCTTGTCGGATATCCGGCACGTGAGCAAGGCGTCCGTACCTGGGTTCACCTCCGTGTACCTAGGCACCTCGGTGAACTGCTGCACGCCACCTTAAACGAAATAAAAACCATATTATTCGTTTGATTGCTCGTGATGCATACTCGGAGTGGAGTAATTTGCCAGCATCTTTGTATTTGAATAGACTGATGTTTATTTTATTTACAAAATTCTATCAATTTTTGTTTTGTCTTTTAGAGGGTCCTATGGGGAGTTAATAA